GGAAATCCAGTCTGTGATTAACGCTAAAAGAATGCCAAATTCCTTTTAACCTTCAATTGCGCACATTATGCATTATAAAAACACGGTAGAAAAATGTTTTTTGAGTTTCTTACTTAAATAGGTATATATTGCAAAATATTTTTTGGGAAATATTTGTTAGTAAGCTATAAATGGGTGCGTTCTAAGAAATAGCATTGTTCAATGGAGAAATTCCACGGTTTATTTAGATTGTTATCTGGAAATATGAGCATTCTCCAAAAAATTAAAGCATTTGTATATGTATTAAACACCGAAGATAGATTTGTTACCTGTACGTTACAATGTGCAAAGGATGGTTAAAATGAACATACAACTGTGCAACTGTGCTGTCAAACTACTTTTGGAATTATAGTGCATTTATTTATGAATATGCGTATTTGTACGGATTCATATTCGTGCTTTGCTGTACAGCACTGTTTGCAATGTGATAAAAAAAAAGTCATTCGTGTATATATATTCGTCGTTAACAAAATTTATTTCTCTGTCCTGAAGCTTTTATTTTTCGTATATTGTACAGAAATAATTAATAACCTTACATTAAGTTTGACAGGTTATATCTTATCGGAATTTACTTGCTAGTCACCAGATGAACTTACTTGTAATTTTAGATAGAGAAAAGAACATTGGGTTCTAATTAAGGCTCTTGCAACCAACTGAGGTTTAGTACATTTTAATTATTACTCGCCCCAAGAGAAGTTCCTGCTGTGGAAATGTCAACTAAGGAATGTAATACCCACGGAGTATACTGCAAATATTTCAACAATAGTAATTATGGTTGCTTCCCTGAAATAAAAGAAACTGTACTCTTTAAAGAGGATTGCATCGTAGAATGAGACCAATTTGTCAATTGACAATGAAGTGTCTATTGTCAAAAAACTAATTATTCGATCGAATACGCGCCCTCTGTTATTTATGTTGTCTGCGTAAAGTTTAGCTAAAAACTAAAATTTCCTGATTCATCCCCGAAGGAAACACATAATCTATTATTCAATTTTCTGTCAGAGTTTATAACTTAATTAAGATTTTTTGGTCATTGTAGAATAAGAAACTTGAAGCTTATAAAATTTTATGAAGGAAAAGAAATTGCTTATTTGTGTGTGTGTGTGTGTAAGGATTTTGCAAATAAATTTTGCTGTGTTGTGATTATCGCATTGTGTTAGCTCAGGGAAAAAGTATTCGTAATTCAAACAAAAGATTTACTTTAATAAATTTTCCCCATTGTTAGTTTATCTCTAAGCCCCATTTCGCTTTCAAACGAAACACTCTAATTGTAAACCGAAAATATGGATTAATACAAGACTATACTTCCAAATACAGAAAACAAGAATCTGTCTAACTGAATGGATCAATGACAAAAGTAAACAGATTCTAAAACCCACGCGAAAGAAACATGCACATAGAGGTCAGCAGTAATTTTAAGGATTTAGAACGCTAAAATCCTGGGTTCGACTCCTCGTGGCGGGCAGAGCACATAAAACCCAATGTGTTGGCTTTGCGCTGAAACAAACCAACTCATGCAGTAAATTATTTTTATTACGCTAATTGTCCTGAAAAAGAACAAACGTTCACAAATAAATGTGTTTTTATACAAACAATACCTTTAATAATCGTTGCGAAAAACAAGCCTCCCAGTGACACAG